AATGTGTGGCTGAAAATGCTTCCTAAGCTGCTGTTGTTTTGTTGCCTTTTTTGAGAAATAACTGAACCAGAGAGCTGCAAATTAACCTTTCTTGTTTAGCCCATTGTCTGCGGCCGCACAGATGCTCTGGTCTGCGCCACAGTTGGTTTGAGGTTTCAGCATCAGCAGGGCACGTTGAGGGCTTTGGTCTGGCACAGCGTAAGTCTGTGGGCTTGAATTCTGCTTCCCTCAATCGCTCTTATCCGGGCCTGATCCTGCAGCGCTGGCCACATAAACTCTGCTCTGTGCAACCCCCTGGATTTGGGCTGAGTCAAATGCACAAGCTCCGGGTCTCCTTTCTCGCCCAGGACTTTCGCTTTGGCCCCTCACCAGCTCTGCTGGCCCCAGCGTAAACGCAGCACCTGGGGGGTGACTCCAGACTGCCACTGGTTTCTGCAGAACCAGAGCCTGCTGTCATCCCTGCTTGCTTTTTGGACGTCCCATTTAATATCTTTCTAATTGCCCGTGAAGTCTCAAACACTTGTATCTGGTCAGTCGGCTGGATGTGTTTTCTGTGCATTGCATGTTCTCCTGTGGCAGAATCGGGTCGGTGCAACCTTCCCCATCGCTCTCCATGGCGTAAGCGGGCCGGATCCGGGTCCATCCCAGTGCACGGTGTGGGCCAAGGCACCACCTGGTCCTGGCACAAGTGGCTGGTTCCCGGCTTTTAGCTCTCTCAGGCTGCCCAGCTCCTTGCTTGGCGACTGTATTTTTCCCGTGCGTCGGTCCCACCCGGGGTTTTGCTTTATGCGTGCCTCCCCCTGCCTTTCCCGGGCTTTATGTCCTGGTATGTGACACAGCAGATGACAACGGCCCGTCCGGACCCCCTGCGTCAGGGCCCAGGCAGCGTATGGGGCTGGAGGCGTGTGAATATCCCGCCACAGGGACGGGGAGGGGGGGGTTGCATTACAGCCCTGGAAGCTCCAGTCGCTGAGAGCTGTAAACAGCTCCAGCAGATTTCCTGACTCGGCAATCCCACTGCAGCCATCGGCTCAGTCCCTGCGCGTTTGGGAAGCACCCGGGGACGCGGGGCCAGCCCTGACAGGGGTCTGCAGGAAGGTTTTCCTCCTCCTTCCCTCCCTGCTGCTCCCCCGAAACTTTGCTGCCGTCAGCTGCCGCTTTCCCCTAGCCAGGCACCCTGCCATGGCAGCCAGCGCTGCCCGCGCATCACTGCCGGGCTCCGTGCCGCGGCAGGGACACGGCTGAGCAGCCCACGCCGACTAGCCCTGGGGGACCCGAGCCCTCGAGCAGCGAGCAGCCCACGCCGACTAGCCCTGGGGGCCCTACCCGCGATGGAGGTAGGTCCCGGCAGCCGTTGGGGATAGAATAAGACTGCGGGGAGGATGGCGATGGGCAGAGAGACCCGCAGGGGCTTTCAGTACCTCCGTTTCTGGCGCTCGGTGAATGAAACCCACCAGCATGATCCGTGCCGGCACAGCAAAGACGGGGTGGGAAGCTCCGCTGCAAGCTGAAACCCTTAACGTGCCTCCCTACATGATGTACGAAGAATTATGCTCAGGCTGGTAATTAGCGGAGGCAGCTGCTGCCGGCCCATCGTGTCTGTCCAGGGACGGCGCGGGAGCAGGCAGCAGGCAGGGCAGGCAGGGCGCGGAGGGGGACACAGGGCTGCCTGCTTCGGTCTCTGCCGCAGGCTTGAAAGGAGGGTGGGAAGCGTGAGTCAGGGCTCCTACTTCTATTTTCAACGCCTGGGGTGGGTAACGCTGTCTGGTGGGAATAGCAGCTCCGCTCCGGGAGGCACAGGGCGGCAAACACACATCGGGACGGGGACGGGACTGGGGACACCCAGAGCGTCCCCTGTAACGCTGGGCTAATTGCACTCACCAACTCACAGGACGGATGCTGTCCCGAATTACACCGATAAAGTGCTCTGAGGAAGAGGGGCCGCAGAAGCACCCAGATTTAATGACTGCCCCAAAATCAACCTCCCCACATCCACTGCCCACCTGCATTTCTCTGCCGGCTGTGGCCTCTCCCTCGTGGCTTTCCACAGCCACCAAGGGCCTGGGGCACGGTGACACCCGCGCTGTGGAGCTGCCGGATCAGTGCAGCAGCTCCTCGGGTCTGCCCTGCATGCCAGCATCCCTCGACAGCTCGGTGGTGCTTATTTTTCCATGCTTGAAGGTGCATATGACCCTTCCCACAGCCGTTTCGTCCCCGTGTTGCATTTCAGCTGGGAACCACCGTCACACTTCGTAGTGAAAGTCCTCGCTCGGGGTCGATGCAGCAGGAGCCACGGTGTTAGCTCATCTACTGCGCTTCCTAGTATGCTATAGGGTATGGAAAACAGAATAGTTCAGGGCATGAGTAAGTGTCTTGAGAGTTTTGTTCTGAACTTTGCAATAATTGTGCAATTTCTTAAGAATGGGTTTAAATCCCTTCCAGTTGCCGGTGTGCCGGGAGACCCACAGCCCCATGCCGGGGACACGGCCACGAGCGAGCTGCTGGGCCCCGAGGTCCTCACCTGCCACCCGGGCTTTCTTCCATCAAACCTGCAGCAGTAAATAAACCAGCATTGCATAATTGTGCCCGGCCACGGCCCTCCAAGTACTGTTTGCTCAGCTTATTAGTTTGAGCCTTTTGCATTTCTCAGCTCTCCTGGGTTGAACTCTGTTGATAAGAATAATTTTTCTTCCTGCGTCCTGCATTCTTCCCGCATCCCACATCAGCCCCTGCTCTCCCTTTCGAGCCCTCCTGGAAAACAAGCACTGGAAAACAGCACTTTTATTTTGATGTGCCTACCAGAAGGTTTTCTGCATGTAGGGAAAGTGTGGCTTTTACTAATCCCACTGTTCAATCCACTGCACAGTCATTTAGGCTTGCTGGGATTTAGCAGGCACTGTCTGTTAATACTGCAGAGATCGGTATTGTCATTTTTTGGTTGTTGTTTTCAAAGCACTAACCTGATGTGGCTTTCATATGATGTGACCTGTGTCTGAGAGAGAGCAGAGCTTTCAGTGGTGCTTGGGGAAAGGATTGCACCCCAGCCACGTCAGCATGGATGGGCAGCATTGGATCCATGCCGTTCACCACCCATCCTGCCCTCCCTTCCCGCCGCGCTCCCAAATATACTCCCACAAATAAATCCAAAGGACTGGCTTTGCAGGGGCAAACTTTCCCTGTTTGGAAACAAAGTTTGAGCAACTTCTCCCCTTCACTGGCCTAGTTGGGGGTTCCCATTTCAGCATCTCCGGGGCTGCCTTTTCCTTTTCCACGGCTGGTTTGTCCCTTACTGTACAGAGAATTGACCATCAGGGCAAAAAGTCTGTTTCCTGCTGCTTCTAATTTCTGCCCCCTGATAAGAAAATGAAGCAAAACCCTTTGCAGGGTGGCTGGAGGGCCCAGCCTGGCCGAGCGGCTAAGAATAGCCTGGCAGCGGGGTCCGAAAACTCCGCAGGTTTGTTGGGCATTATTTTTTTTTTAAAAAAAAGCGCTGATCCAGCTCCCAGCTCTGCCCCGTGTCCGCCTGCGGGCTGGGGGCTGCTGGGTTTCCCCTTTGCTCTCAACCTCCAGCCCCTGCCCTGTATTACAGTAGCGCGGAGGCAACGGAGAGAGAAGGAAAGCCTTGGGGAGGGGGCTGGGGGATGCTCCCACCGAGCTTGTGGTTGTCTGCTTTTGCCTCCCAAGGAGGCTGAGACCCCCGCAAGGAGACCCCCCTGCACGAAGCACCAACACCCCTGGGCTCCCGGCAGGACAGCAGCGCCGGGGAAAGAGGAGATGCAAGTAAATAACAGGAGGGCAGCGTTTGCCCCTGCTTTTCCAAGCCCCACGTGGGACCTGCTGCAGACAGGAGTGTTTGTAAGCAGCATCTTGAGAACATTCCTCCCTCCCGCGCAAGGCATTTCCTGGTGATAACACACTCCTAAGTAATGATCTCGCAGCATTATCCCTATTAAAGGGTCATTCGGGGAAAGTGTGATGGAAATTAGAAATTACTCGGGTTTGCCAACAGTATTTAACTTTCAAGCAGCTCTTAATTAGAAGCCAGGAGCCATTTATACAACCACTGATATTTGCATAAGAATCTGCATCTAAAACCCAGCAACTGGAAAGATCTAGTGATTTTTTTTTTTCAAGTGGCAAAGCAGCGTGCCTGGGTTGGAGAGTGCCAGGCAGGACCCTGGGTTGCAGTCCGGGCTCTGCCAGTGATTTTAAGTGTGGCCTCAGGCAAGTGATTTTCCTCTCCCAATGCTCCAATTTTTCCATCTGTAAAATGGAAATCAGCTGTGTCCGAACTTTCTAAGTGGCAGCTTGTGTTTGCAGAGGGCTCTGGCATTGCCAGGCGAGAAACCTTGGAAAAGAAGGCAAAGGAGTCCCTGCACCTGCAGCCCGCTGCTCTCTGGGGATCAGGAGCTGCTCCTGAGTAACCTGCAAATTGGGGTTACGGCAGAGTTTCTCTTCAGCAGAAAAACTCCTGTGTGCATCTCGGCTAAAAGCCAAAGTCTGAAAACGAGACTGAAATACCTGCGGGTTGCTCAATCCTTGCTCTCACTGCTGGTTTGGTGGGAGATTTGATGATGGGTTCCAGTTTTAGCTCCTCGCTCCTTTTTCCCTGGCTGGCGTTGGGTGTCCAGCAGCCCAGAAATGCGGGTGCCCATCTCTGCACAGAGCGAGGGCGGAAAGTCAGAGTCGAGCTCCCGACGGCGGATGCTCCTTGCTGAAAGCAATTGGCCAAAACCAGCCCTGAAACCCTGATTATTTTGTTGCTGCGCCCTCGAACTGGTTTATTCCTGGGATGCCAGCAGTAGTGGTATGGCTGGGAAATGCTTAACCAGCCGGAAAACTTCTCGCTATTGCTCTGGTTAACTATTCTCCTGCCCAGCTCTTGCCTCCCTCTCCCTCCTCTGTCCCCCCGCCCCCTTCCTCTCCTACCCCCTCCCCGGGGGCTGCCTGGGCATTTGCTCCCTCCATTGAGCATCGCCCTCCTCTCTCTTTGCTCGCAGCTGGACAAGGGGGACGTGACCGCACTCAGCCTGCCCTCCACCACCGGGCACGGCGACGCTGACGGCACCGTCTGCCTGGACGTCCCTGATGGCACCCCTGACCCTCACAGGACGAAAGCTGCCATCGAGCACCTGCAGCAGAAGATCCTCAAGATCACCGAGCAGATCAAGATCGAGCAGGAGGCTCGGGATGACAACGTGGCCGAGTACCTGAAGCTGGCCAACAACGCGGACAAGCAGCAAGCTTCCCGCATCAAGCAGGTTTTTGAGAAGAAGAACCAGAAGTCGGCGCAGACCATCGCGCAGCTGCACAAGAAGCTGGAGCACTACCACAAGAAGCTGAAGGAGATCGAGCAGAACGGCCCTTCCCGGCAGCCCAAGGATGTCTTCCGGGACATGCACCAGGGTCTCAAGGACGTGGGTGCCAACGTTCGCTCCAGCATCAGTGGCTTTGGCGGCGGCGTGGTGGAGGGCGTCAAGGGAGGGCTCTCGGGTCTGTCCCAGGCCACCCACACTGCCGTGGTCTCCAAGCCCCGGGAGTTCGCCAGCCTCATCCGGAACAAGTTTGGCAGTGCAGACAACATCGCCCACCTGAAGGACACGCTGGATGATGGGCACCCGGAGGAGGCTTCACGGGCTCTCAGCGGCAGTGCCACCCTGGTCTCCAGCCCCAAGTATGGCAGCGATGACGAGTGTTCCAGTGCCACCTCCGGTTCAGCTGGTGGCAGCAACTCAGGGGCAGGACCCGGCGGCTTGGGGAGCCCCAAGTCCAACACGCTGGACAGCCACCACAATAACTTTGACACCATCCTGGAGGAGCTCCGGGAGATCAAGGACAGCCAGTCGCACCTGGAGGACTCCATGGAGGACCTCAAGGCCCAGCTGCAGCGGGATTACACCTACATGACACAGTGCTTGCAAGAGGAGCGGTACAGGTAGGGATGGGTGGGTGCCGGGGTGGCAGCACGTGTCACCTAGGGTGGTTCTTTGGGGACCACGAGACCACCATCCTGGGCTTGTCCAGCTACGCCCTGCATGCCAGGGACGTGGGGAGCTGCAGTCCCCGCTGCCAGACCCCCCGCAGCACCACTCCCGTGGAGGATCATGCAATGCTTTCCCTTCGGCAGCCATAACCAGCTATAGCCAGGAGCGGGGTGGGTCAGAGGGGCCGGGTGTTTCCCTACTGTCAGGAAAAGGAGGGCAGGGGGGTCCGCAGGGGGACCTGCCCGACCCAGCGCCCCTCCACCCCCCGTGTGCAGGTACGAGCGCCTGGAGGAGCAGCTGAACGACCTCACCGAGCTGCACCAGAACGAAATGACCAACCTGAAGCAGGAGCTGGCCAGCATGGAGGAGAAGGTGGCCTACCAGTCCTACGAGAGGGCACGGGACATCCAGGTAGGGGAGTGTGAGGGCTCAGCTCCCCGCTGCACCCTCCATCCACAGGGCGAGGGAGGGACCCTGACCTGGGGAAGAGGGTGGGCAAGGGGGATCCCTTTTTCTAGCACCCTCCAGATGAGGTCCTCACTGTGACGCTGTCACAGCAAGAAGCAGGTAACTAAGCCATGTCCCCAAAATCCCTGTCTGTGCCCCAGTGAGTCCCCGCTGTGCTAAAGTCTCCGGGTGCTCAAGGCAGGGCAAGGCTCTGGGAGGATGGCTGCAGCGCTGGGCTGTTACAAGCCACGTGTGGGCCAACACAGTCCCCGCTGTCCCAGTTTGGGTCATCTCCCCTGCTGCATTAGGTGCTCCCGGCACCAAGACCTTCCCCGGCACAGGCAGCGTGGGACGGGGCGTGCCTTGCACATCACATGGGCCAAGGGTTTGCAGAGGGAAACCCCTTCCCAGCCGGGGCGGTCACCGTCACAAGGTTGGCAGGCATTGGAGCTGTGCAAGCAAAACTTTGCAGCAGCAAGGTCTCAGAGCACGGGGCAAGTACCAAAAGCCCTCGCGGGGCATCCGCGGAGCCGCTGGCCAGTCCTGATGTGCTGTCCCTCGCAGGAGGCGGTGGAGTCGTGCCTGACACGGGTGACCAAGCTGGAGCTGCAGCAGCAGCAGCAGCAGGTGGTGCAGCTGGAAGGGGTGGAGAACGCCAACGCCCGGGCGCTGCTGGGCAAGTTCATCAACGTCATCCTGGCCCTGATGGCCGTGCTGCTCGTCTTTGTCTCCACCATTGCCAACTTCATCACCCCGTTGATGAAGACCCGCATGCGCATCCTCAGCACCGCCCTGGTCGTCCTCTTCCTCTTCTTCCTCTGGAAGCACTGGGACTCCATCACCTACTTTCTGGAGCATGTCCTGCTCCCCAGCTGATCCGCAGCCCGGCTGCTGCGGCCCTGGGGGCTTTCCATTTCCCGCAGAGGAGAGGGCCGGGGGGACGGTGATCCAAAGCCTTCAGGTTGTTTCTTCACACGCTTGGTTCAGTTGCTTTCCCGGCCCTCCATCCTCGCTGCAGCCGGCAGTGATTGCTCGGAGCGTGGCATGTTGGAGCCGGGATCCGTCAGTCCTCTGGGATGTTTGGGGAGGGCGGGATAGGGAATGAGGAGGAGTTTTTGGAAGAAACTGGTCATTCATGGAGCGCTGGGTTTTTCTAGGGTTTTGGGGTTGTTTTTTAAATGTCATTCTGTTCTGAAAGTCCATGGGAAGGAGGTCTTCTGCAGAGCTCTTCTGTCAGTGGGAAGGATTGAGCTGGACCAAACCCAGCTCCAGGAGAACTTTCTGCAGAGAGAGGAGAGGGGTTAGTTGGGGCTGGGTTTTCCCTTTCATCCTCGAAGACCAAGAAGGCAAAAAGCTCAGTCCTGGAATGGAGCGAAAGCAAAGCACGTGGCGAAGGAGAAAGCGGGTCCAAGGCAAATGCAGCAGGGCATGCGCATCCCACCAGCCTCTCCCAACCCCGCCACAGCCTGGCCAGGACAGAGTGGGGCTGTGACGTTGTCCCTGTGTCCCCACGGGGGCCTGGGCAGACATAGGGGACCCGATGCCGGAGATGGCACCAGCACAAGTGAGATCCCCTCCGCTGGTTTCCCTTCATTTATTTATTTCCCCCCTCCTTCGGCTTTAGTTGATCTGATCTCTTCAGGGACACCTGGACTTTCCAGCATCACGCCTCTGAGTTTTACAGCCTCTGCACCGTGTCGTGTGTGTGTGCGTGTGTGTGTGCGTGCGGTTTTTAATTTAATTCAAGACTCTGTTTCCATTTGTGAATCAAAGCTGGTAGAGCGGGGGGAGGCGAGCAGCTGCCTTCCCAGCCTCCCCAGCCCTACACAAGAGCACGGCATGCTGTCTCGGATGTTTCTTAAATTATTTCATACATATATATTTATGTAATATAACTATACACACACACACATATATATAAATATATACATAAAAGTATATGCACAGTCAGATCCTCCTCTGGTGCAAATGGGTGCCACTCCACTGACTTCGGAGGCCCTGAACCAGTTTGCCTCAGCTGAGAATTTGGCCCTTAACATTTTCTGTGGCACTTCCCAGCCCGATGCGCAGGGATGGTGCAGGGCACAGGGTGCTCGGGAAGGTCGGGGGGTCCTGCAGAAGGGGCAGAGGCAGTTCCAGCGTGTGGAGGGGAAGGTATGTGGTCCTCTCCCACCACCTCCATGCTCCCGGGCCCAAGCCAAGCCCACCTGTGGCCCCACATCGGGCTTCCTGCATCTCCTCGGCACTGGGGGATCCACCCTCTCACACTGGCACAACTCCCAGTGCATCCCAGCAGCTGGGGCTTGGTGCAGGAGCTCTGCACAGGGCAGTGGGTGCCTGCAGGAGCCCTGTGCTCTGCCAAAGGAACCGGCAACACAAGGGTGGGGGGGCTGCAAGGAGGAGGGCTGGGGGGCACTGGGCTGGCGACCCCAGCTTGTGCCCTGGGACCACAGCCAAGAGGTCTGTCCCCAGGAGCCCTGACCCCAGGGCGCTGGGTCTGATGCATCAGCAGAGAGAGAAGTGGTGGAAGAGACTGAGGACAGGCTTGTGGAGGGTGGCCACAGCAAGAGGTGGCCCCACTGTCCTTGCGGAGACCTGGCAGCAGGGCCAGCAGGTACCAGATGCATCCCAGCCCATCGGTTTGCACCAAAGTTAAACCACGCACGCTGCGAGCGAGCTCAGCATGGGAACGCGGCGGGGCAGCCGGGAGATAAGCCTGCACTATTTCTGAAGCGCAGCAGCAGGCTGGGTTTCAGCTGCTTTGACCTGGAAAGATGGCAAATGGATCTGGACTGGTTGCTGAGCAGGCACGGGTGGGGAAAAGCAAGGCAGCGAGGCTCTGAGGGGGCCTAGTAGTACATCTGGCTGGTGATGGACCGGGGGCACGCGGACAGACCCCGCTCCCAGGCATGCCCTGTGCTTACTGGAAAGGGCACCTATGAGGTGACATGGGTTTAATATCAGAGGCAAGGCAGCTGAGCCCCAGTGCACAGGACACTGCAGGAGCAGGGGCCGTGCCCAGGTGGGATGAGCAGGCAGGGACAGTACAGACCTTTGTGGAGGCTCCCTGAAGGCCCGTTGCTGCAGGTGACACCCGGGGCACATCCTCTCTGGAGTGAACAGTCATATCTCCATGAACTTCATTTGAGCACCGTGGGCTTGCCCAGAGC